GTAAGGGTCTCACTCTGTCACCCAGGCTGGAGTGCAGTGGCACGATCATGGCTCACTGTAGTCTTGACAAGCTAGGCTCAGGCAATCCTTTCCACCTCAGTCTCCCAAGTAGCTGGAACTACAGGCTTACACTACCATGCCCAGCTAACTTTTTGATTTTTTGTAGAGATAAGGTCTTGCTATGTTGCCTAGGCTGGTCTCGAACTCCTGGACTCAAGCAATCCTTCTGCCTCACCACACTCAGCCCTGGAGACGCTTTGAATTCTCAAATCAGTATTCTACACTCCTAATTACAATACGCCTCATGTCCCAAAATAGTTGACTACAATTAACAGCTGGTAGGAAGGACTGGCAGGCTGCCTACTGAAAGGCCAAGCAGATAATGTTCTTGCAAAAGCTAAAGTGAAGTTTCTTAAATCAGATGGTCATCCCACTCCTCTTTTCCTAACAATATCTGCTCTTTGTAATTCTCCAGCACCATGGTTCATAAACTACAAAAAAGAATATAATTTTCAGTTCCATCCTTTAAAAAAACTATGCAATTATTTCCTTTCAGCTAATAGTCAACTTCATTTTTAAAAGCTTAGTTCGGTAAATTTAAACATGACTAAAACCTACTATAAACTCCAATAATGGGATGAAATTCAAATTATCTAACAGAAAGGCAACATGTGTCATAAGAGAATCCTGAAACGATACCTTCAAGCTACTTCTTAGTGACACCCTCACATTAGCAATTCCCTGAGGCCACTGACTGAGGAGAGTTGACAGAACATTCAGTTCAATATTCTAATAAGTAACTCTTTTTTTCTATGATTATAACCTTTAGAGAGCTTCTGATTTTCTTCTTTTATAATGTGTAATTGTGAGCAAAATTTCTAAAAGGCACTTTTTGTTCTAAAGAGCTTACACTCAGAATAATAATTTTCTACACATTGTTTTTTCCCTACCCCCAAATACCAACAACCATAAAACAAGGAACTCAGCATCTGTTGTGTGAATGAGTAATTGCCCACTCAAGGAGAGCCTTTCATGTGGACTCATCTTGTTCACCTTTCAACTATCAGGCCACCTCAGCAAATCAATGGGAACCTGCTTCTAAGAAAAGAGGACAAGCCCAGCATCTTCTGGGCATCCTCTGTCACACAACAGCATGACCCACAACTCCACAACTGTAAGCAAAATTTCCAAGAAATTTCCTTTCAGACAGTAAACCATTCCCATACCCTCCCAAAAGACAACTGGTACAAGTAGTAGTAGCACAGATAACCAGTTTAAAGAAAAAAAAAATTAGTATTACAAAATTTTTAAAGAACTGATAAAGTCAAGCAGCACTGAAAGCCTTGAAATTTCATAATTTTTAGGGCAGACTTCAACAGCTGTTAGAAGTACAAAGTATTTGGAAATACATAAGATACAAGAGAAGGCAGAGAAAGGCATGACAATCAGAGGCAGCAGTGACCGTGAAGGCATGCAGGTCATGTTTAGGAAGCACACTTCAGAACAGCAGCACTTCAGCAAGTATTTGTCCTGGAGCAAGTACTTCAGAACAGCAGGCTGAATGAAGAGAAAATAGTTCAGACGAAAAGGTAGAGGGTTTTCAGTGCCAGGCTAAAAGCTTTGGTTTTATTTTTAGCAGGAGAATAACATGAGCAAAGCTGTGTTTTAGGAAGAACATTCTAGCTATGATGGGTAATATATTGGCAAGGGAGAAATTAAAAGCAGGGAATGCTTAGGAAATTATGAGAATGCCTTGGAGAAGAGCTAGCTAATGCCTGGCAAGAGTAATGTAAATGGCAATGGCAAAAGTGAAAAGTGTCACAGAGCATACTCAACAGTCTACGACACCTGACTAAATGGGGATAAGGAGAGGAAGGAGACGAACACATGGATCATGAGGGTTCTGGTCTGGATCGCCAGAAGGAAGGTGAAATCACTAAGGGAAAACTCAGGAAGAGAAAAAGATTTGGGAAAGCAGTACATGAGTTCAGTTGAACCTGGAAGCCAGAAACTGCAGACAGGATTCCCATCACCTTCAGCCTACTCAAGGATTTAGCTCCTACAGATTCCTACTCCCTCACATTCACTCTTGAACCCATTCCAATCTGGCTTCCAGACCCTACCACTACACATTCAAGGCCACCAACAATCACTATGTTGCCAAATCCAATGACTACTTCCCTTTTCATCCTAATCCTTCAGAAGCATTTGACCTAACCGTGATTCCTTGGGAAAGTTTCCTCTAGTGTTCTACTTCCTCAGTTGCTTTCGTTAGCATCTCTACTCCTTCCAGACATTAGATGTTTTGAGTGCTGCAGGCTTGGTTCTGGGTCCTCTTCTCTCCTTAATTTACAATCACTTAAAGACAATTTCATCCAGGTACATAGCTTTAGATGCCGTCTATATGTTACCAACTTCTGATTTAAATGTCCTGTCTTGATCTTTGAGCTCCAGACTCAAATGCAACTGCCCATTAGATAGCTTAACTCATAAGTGGTATAGGCTTCTTTAACATTTGCAAGACAGAGTCTACTCTTCTTCCAGTCTTCCTCCGCTCAAGTAATGGCATTATCTAGCTCCTCAAATTTTGGTTCACCCATCTCCCTCATTCTCTACACCCAATCCATCAATAACTCCTGTCAATTCTTTCTAAAACATATCCTGTATTCATCCATTTCTCTCCATCATCATTGCCATCAACTATATATAATATCTATTTTCTTATACTGAATATAATCTTTGTTGAATTCAGTCATTCATTCAACAAAAATTCATTGAGCCTTAGACACTTAGGAATAATGCTCGGTTTGGGATGTGCATGTTCCATAGCCTCAAGGAACTTTCGTGGGAAAGACAGAGAAGTAAAGCAATACTTAGAAATTGATGTTGTAGATTAGTGCTTTGGTAATGACATGCTGAGGATCCTCTAAGCATAAAGAAGAGAGGGCAACTCATACATTTTGGTTTGGTAGAAAAGGCTTCCTATAGAAGCAAGGATTACACTGATGAGTTTTGAAGGCAAATGTAACTGATGATGATGGGTAACATTTACTGATATTTTACTCCTAACCATTAGTCATACTCTCAGTTAACCAAATGAAAGAGCATAGGTAAGCAGGAATTGTAAGTGCTGATGACTCTCCTTCAAACTCTGTTAAAAACGGTAATAAATACAATCCATGTAAAGCAGTCTTCAAGTTAATTCTATCCATGAAGACTTCCATGACACCCAATCAGCAATCTCTCCCTTACCTAAACTCCTACAGCACTTAATGCTATCAGTGTCATATGACCTTATGTGCTGCCTTGTAATATGGTTATATCTATATAGGTATCATCTCTAGGTGACACTAGAACTCCTGAAGTGCTGAGGCCACATCTCATCTACCCTGCACCACACATATGCACATGATGAGACACATTAGACACTCAGCAAACCATGATGATCAAGTACTATGGCTGTAGAACAACTAAGACCATCTGCTTCTTCAAAGAGGCCCTTGCTGTAACTACAGAGCAAATATTCTTTATGAAGCTTATAAAGTTATTTGATAACAACCTGTTTGTCACTTGCATTCAAAAATGTTTATCATTTTTCATAGTTTAATATTTTCAGAAAATCAAATAAGTAAAAAGAATTGAAATGCCTTTCAGATCTTACCATATTTTAACTCTTTGCACTAGGAGACATCTCGCAGATCACCTACTAGCAACTCAATCACACTCTTTTACAAAATAGTGAAAAACAAGCCGGGCTCGATGGCTCAGTTTGTAATCCCGCGCTTTGGGAGGCTGAGGTGGGTGGATTACCTGAGCCTGCGGGTTCAAGACCCGCCTGGGCAACTTGGCGAGACCTCATCTCTACAATAAATCAAAAAA